AATATAATTTATTAAATAATGATACAGTTGCAATAACAATTAAAGTTTATTTAAGAAAATACTTCGTTTCGTCATAATAGAAGTTTACCAAACGAAGAACCATTTAGTAAATATTTCAACACAATTTTCAAATGTTATTTTCTTTTATCGAAGGCAAACATCATGTTACAGTTATTATCGTCATAAAACGTTTAAGTGGAAGTAGAAATAAATCTCTCGGACACGTGTAAAATAATGTTTATAATATCTAGATTTTATTTTCGGTTACCCAGGACATCGCAGTGTTACGAGTACGCTCGAAAAATACGACGCCGTCCTTTTTTAAGGTTTAAAGACATTAATGTGAGAACACCGTTGGTAGTTCCATACGATTCCTCTTCCACTTGGTCACGGTTAAAATTCTCGTGCTATGTATGCACGTTGGAGAAGCGTGAACCGGTTGTTCGTCCCTTCGGCAGTCTCCTCAAGATTAATCCATTTCGCGGAAGTGCAAATGGTCACCTCGTACTCCTGTTCTTCTGGTTGTATGGTTATCTCCGTTGACCATCGTAATTCATTGTCACCTTGAAGTCCTTTTTTTCGCAGATCTCTTTATTCGAGTTTTCGTTCGTGTTTGTAACCGCGATAAAAATTTGTAATTTTGTAGTCTCATTGGACAATCAGAAATATAAAATTTGTATCCCCTCAAAAATAACGGTATAGTTTTCATTTTCCATTGAATCATAAAAGAGAATTGATATCGAATGGATAAATAATTAAATTTTATATTACTATATATCAAAATTGTCAAGAACACGTAAGGATAGTGTTATGTTTAAAGGTCAGCTGATATATTATATAAATAACGTAGATATGATATCCACTTATATTAAATAAATATTGTTTACGTAAATTACCAAATATATATGTTCACGTTATTTTCTAACGCTACCTATATTAGAAATAACAAACAAAAAAAAACAAAGAAATACATTTTTACTTATTTGTACATTTCTTATAGTGGGTACTTTTTTACACTCTATTCACTGCTATTGAGTGAAGCTGCTTTAATAGAATGCAAAAGAGTTTATATTAATTCACAAATTCGAATGTTCATTAAGAAAAGCAATAAATGTATGTAATATTAATACGTGTTACTTTATTAATATTAAAATTTCAATATTGAGATTTTCTAACAGTATGGGAATGCATAAAGATGCGTAATTAGTATATTATTCAATACCTTAAAACTACACCGAATTTTCCTGTAGACTTTGCACTACGACTAGCAATCAATAAATCGTGAAATGCGTCAATGTATTAACTCTTTCGCAGTCGTTGATTCTGCTACGAGGGCGTTACCTGAATGCTGCAAACAATTTAAAAAAATATGTAACTGAACGTCACATGGTTCTGGCATTAAAAATGAAATGAAAACAGAAAATATTGTTTCACAAAATTGCCTACATCCATTTGCTGATTAACATCAAAACACATGTAGATGTTATAAAGCAAAGTATACAAATTAAAAATTTACAACTATAGCAATATTAAAGTTGAGGATAATAAATATCAAATTTGATAAAATTATAAAGTAATTTTACACAGTGTCTAATAATAAATGCGAATACGAAATTGATTAATAATTAATAAATATCAGTAAAATTTAATAATAAGTTTCTCAATAATTATATAGTTAGAGATACGTACAGTGGAGGTCTCACGTTAGCCAAGTCGACCTTTGGTTCAAAAGTGAAGAGTTCCCTTGCATCTTTTCACTTTTGAACCAAAGGTCGGCTTGGCTAACGTGGGACCTCCACTGAACAGTGTATCTGTATAGTAGCATAGGATTACTTTGTGGAGTTTAAAATTAATAAACACGATATAAACACACGACAATTAGCGATCAATAGAACCAGCTTTGTCTTTACTAAAATAAAAATATATGCGTGTATTTAGTAAAGAAGCAGAACATAATATACTTTATAAATGTACAGAAGAGAATCGTAGTATTTTAATTACCATAATGACGTAAGGTAAATGTACCGATAACTAACCAATTAAGGGTATAAGGACAGCATAATATTATATTATAGATGTAAATATTTATATTATGTGCTTATGCTACGTAATATTTAATATTTTATAATATTTTTCCTATTATTATATCAGTATACTCTACCTATACTATTATATTTCTTAGTATTTATATTTATGCAAAATACTATATTACTGAATATTTTATAAAATATTAACCATTTTTATTAAAATATTTGCCACAAATATTTATATTTCATATGAAATATTTATACCAAAATATTGACGATAAACATTTCTAATTTATATGCAGTATATATATTTACATAACCTTAACTGGAATAGTCACCAGTACAGCATTTACCTTACCAAAATATATCAAGCAGAATAATTGCCAACTGTTCACGGATCTGTAACTTAGCATTGGCTGAAGTGGCTCGCAGCAGCTGGGCACAAAAATGGAGGAACGGTTTTACCGTGAAATAGTAACGCCGCAGATAAGTGGAAGTAGAAGAAAAAAATGACAAGAGATGGCGAGAGGAGCCTAGTGGGGGGTAAGGGGTAGAAGATGGCACAAGGAGAAGGGAAATAGGAGAGCAGACGAGCAACGACTGACAGAGCTTTCGAGACTCCTCCTAGATTTTCGCAGGGATGCACTCGGCTCGAAGTGCAATCGTAATTAACCGCTTTTCAGTGTCTCTCTCGCATGAAAAATACGAGGTTGCATAAATAAGTGGGCAAAAGGAACGTGTCAAGCTGGCTTTCCGAGCGAACGTATCTCCCTCGATTTTGCTTTTAGCCTCTACTCATCGCGAATCATCTCTTAATCCCCGACACACTCGCGGCCAACGGTCGGAATAACGTTGATCAATAAATAAGCAGGCGACGATGCATTTTTCTCGACTACGAAGTTGGCCCACCTTCTCTCGAATAATTTATTTGAAGGGTCTTTAACGCTGGAACTACCGCATCAATCAAAATGACTGGTTTTTACTTATTTGTTCTACAGTTATTGATATTTTAAATGCACTGAATATTCGAAACGATCTTGAAACAAATAATTTCACTTGAATACTGCAATAGAATATTTGAAGGAACTGAAAATAATCTATTATTACAATTTTTATAGAGATCAAATATTAATCGAATTGACTTATTAAAATTCCTCTATAGAAACTTGAAGAATTCATCTATTGAGATTTTAATTGATGTATAATTCAGTTTGCAGATTATTAAATGACTTTTTTTAATAACTTCTCAGAGAAACATCTGTTATCTTTTTAATAATTGCAGAAAGAAGAAATCAAAAATAGGTCATTTTGACCCGTCTGATAGTCTTAGTGTTAATATCATTGTATATGATGTAATTATACATGAAATATTCAAATAAAATTATTCTATCCATTGATTCGTGCATTATCTTTATTCGACAGAGTCAACAATTTGATAAATATCTCATTAGAAAATAATGAATATATGTAGCGAATAAGTGTTCGAGTGGCAAAAGGTTAAATAATTGAAGTCGTGAATTCCAAAATAGCACGAGTCCACTTTTTAACTTTTTACTGTATGAGTTATTGATGTAATTGTTTTCAGCTTAATCGGGTCTATTTAATTTTATTAAAAATGTACACGTAACGAAGATAAGTATGTCTAGTCAATGACTGTAGCAAGAATTAATAAAATAGATAATGAATGAATGAACGATGATGAAAAGAAACATTAGTGTAAATTGATTGATTTGTGCTGTTTTGGAATTTATGGCTCAATTGTTTTAAGTATAAAGCAAAATTTCTAATACATGGGAATAATTTTTGTTTTATTTTAGATGTTGATTGGGGGTTAAAGAAGATTAATTGGTTATCTTCTGTCGTTAAGAATTCCTTGCTGAATATTCTTTTCTTTTATTAAAAGAATAGAATTAAGTTTTGAGTGGTATCGTTGATATTATAATTGTATGGTGTTACCAATAATGATTTATTTTTTTATTGAGAAATTAAATGTTTAATTTCCAAAGTAGAAATTCAGAATATTTACTATGAACTATTTTATTCTTATTAATGAATTATGCAAGCTTTGAGGAATTTCTACATTGAATATTAAATAGGATATATTTTTATGTAACAATATCTGATAATATAAATGAATATAATAATCATTTGAATTTCATTTGAATTACCATTATACGTTATTCTCAACAAATTATTCTAACAACTATATTTATTATTATCTATCACAAAATACTTAGAAATGAATAAAATCATTGACAAATTGCATAAATAATAATTCAAATAAATTATTATTTCACTTGTGATTCACTAATTGAATAACTGACTGACTGGATAATCGAGGTTCTTCTGTATTATACAAAAAAGTAACTAAACTATGAATAGCTCAGAATAACAGCGATCTAACTATCTATTTCTGAGTTCTCAAGAAAAAGAGAAATGTTCTTAGACTAATTAATTACTAATATTACAGTGTTATTAATAATATTAATTACCATTAATTATTAATATTAATACGTGTAATATAATTGATCAATCCAAGAACATCTCACAAAAACTTTTTTCTGGAAAATTCAGAAACAGAAGTCAGACTATTATTATTCTAAGCCACATACATATAGATTAGACATTGTACTGTTTCATGTATTAGCAGATAATAAATTAACCCCTTGTCCTATGATCTCTCCGCGACTGTTCCTGATAGAACTACTTTATTCTAAATAATTTACCAGAAAAAGAAAAGAATTTATGCTCATGCTATGTCTACGTTTGTTTCAAAGATTAAAGATTGATAATAGACAAGTAATATTTCCTTCATACGAAAATTAAATAAATAACATTCCGGTTTGTCGAATTCGATTGAAAATTTTCATCGCGAGTCTGACTCGATATTATAGGAGAAGAGGTTAATGAAGTAGGTACGTTCCTTTGACCTTACTAACTTCCGATCCTAATTTCGCATGTTGTGTGTTACAGCGTGTGACTGTCACCCGATCGGAGCCTCCGGGAAAATTTGTAACCAAAGTACCGGCCAGTGTCCGTGTAAAGACGGTGTAACCGGTATCACTTGTAACAGATGTGCCAGAGGTTACCAACAGAGTAGATCGCACATTGCGCCTTGCATCAGTAAGTACCGCGAGTCCTTCGCCTTTCGTATTCCACGTAGAACCCGGAGCTTCCGCGAACCAAAAACATTTTAATTACAATAGGACCCCCTACAATGCGTGATATATGTTCCATGTTATACCGATTTCGTGTTACACGAAACAAAGAACTGCAGAAGTTAGAATTAAATAGGGTAATTCCGTGGGAGACGGTTATAACCTCTTTGAAGTGCATTTAAATGGGAGGTAGAAGAATAAAGAACACCAGAGATGATGTTTCAGTAAACTTTACTTACTTTCTTAGGAGATGATCAATAAGAATTAAAATTATAAATGACAAAACGCCAGTTATATTGATTGCAATTCTATTAATTGATTATGCTATCTAATAATTCTATCGATTGTTTATGTTTAGTTAGATAATTGAACTGCCCATCTCCTTCAGAATAACTCTAAATATTTGTTTCATATGACAGAAAATAGTATGGAATTTATTTTAAAACAACAGAACGTGAAATGCTTTCATTTTATATAGAAAATAACTTAAAGCAGAAAGACAGGCAAAATAAAAATTTTAATTCCTGTCGAGATCCCTTAATATTGCATTCCATCGACATTCCTTGTTAGATTACTGGTCCAAATTCTTCGTCGGTCGAATTTTCTGCAACATCAGAGTTTATGTGTTGCTTGTTTCCTAATGTGCTGCTTGTATTATTTCCTTTCGAAGAATCTCACTTTTACCATTATTTTTAATCATGTCATATTACAGTAGTAGTGCAAATTTTAATTCACGTTATACGGGGTCCTACCGTACTTAGAATTAAAGCAATTTGTCCTCATGAAAATTTTAGAAAGTATCGTAGAGTGAATCATTTATATGATTATAGAATGTAATTTCAAAAATAATGGAAGGGTATATTAATATCCAAAAATACTAGTCTTTATTAATTCATCGTACATTATGAATCTTCCTTTTCAAAATTGCATAAAGAATCGTGACAAAAAATACAACGTAAGCTACAATACTATGTCACCTTAAGTTATAAACAATTTACATTTTGTTCTAGACACGAAACAAACGATTGTCGAGCTAATGATTTTACTAATATTTGACACGCATGCGGTTACTTGGAATCTATGGCATTTCGTTACATTTTTATATAAATTTGAATACTTTCCAAGCATATTTTTCTTATTACAATATTGAATGACAAAGTACAAGGTTTTCTTGGATATAAATATTTAACTGTTTAGAATGTGTTTATTTGTGCATGCGATCGAACTAACAAAAATTTGTTGAATATAATTTTATAAATGATACTCATTGTGATTTTTTAACACTAAATGTTAATTAACTCGTAACAATTCACCCTGAAGAAAGTACAACAATATTATGTTCTAATTTCCGTATTGAAGTTCATGATGCAATTGAACCGTTTAATATATTTTTTCACTCGCAATGATGTATCGCATTCGATGTGTGCACGGTTGACTTATGTTCGAGAGCTAACATGTCACATAATAACCGATTATCAGCTTCCCACGATGCTTGTTGATCAAAATTGACTGCGCGCATAGCAGAGTTAATTATTTCCAGCATATCGCACTGCGCCGTTTCCTATATAGCATGCGCTGGCTTATACACGCGCCAGGGGATACAACTCCAAAGCTTTCTTCCATGTACTGGATGTTCAGAAAATATTGATTATCAACGAAGCATTCGCAAGAATATTTTACTATAGTTCTTTTTACTACTAAATTATTAAAGGTTTCATTCGTTTTATTCGTATATACAGTTTGATAAAATACTGCTCTATTAACGAGTGTATAGCAAATGCTAAATGAAAAATGTATTCTTCGTTAATTATAATGATAGGAATATAAAAAGATGTTAAAATTATTACTTATTCTTGTTCGTTTTCAACAATCACATTTTACCACATGAGACCAAGTACTCTAAAAACTTCAAAAGAATTTGTTACATAGTTTTCTATAAAAAAGCAAATGAATTTTAAAGAATCACTTAATCTTCACCGTATTATACTAGGTGTCCAGATAAATATATATTTCTGTTTGTTTATTATGCACTATACTGTGCAACAACAAAAGTAGATATTTGCATCACTAATATTCACAGAAATAACCCAATTGACAGAAAAGACTAAACTAAATTCGGTACATTTTTCTATTATTAAAACAGTCAAAAAAGATTCTTCCAATACTTAATAGACTCTTTTAAAAAACAAGATTCTTTACACGTGACTAAACTGCGGATGTTCATAGAAAAAATGCTTTCTATAATATTTATTAGGAGAAACCATTTTCCATCGCAATTCTGATCTTCTACTTATATTTTTCAAATTTTGAACATCCACAACGGACACACGACACGCTTCAATTAAATAATTCAAACAGAAAGGTTTAAGAATTCGATGAAAAAAGGGGAAAAAGAGGCATGCAACTGCATAAGAATTTCGGCCGTGGCCGTCCTGTTCGTACAAGTGATCGATCGATCAATTGGAAGGAACAGCCGGCCGGCCGGTCGTCTTATCGTTCGATCTCACGTCCAATTAGGCAAAATTTGCGAATACGAAAGAGGGAACCGTGTAAGCCTTTTAGAAGAGATACGAGACGTATTTAGCGTGACTTCTTCGCCGATAGTTTCACGTCTGTTTTCCTCTGTTTCAGGAATACCGAGGGTCGTGCAAACGCAGGGCACAGCCGGCGAGGAGAGCGGGGAATACGAGGAGGACGACGACGAACGTGGCTACGATGGACGAGCCGGTAAGTAAATGTCAAATGAATCGGTGCCCCTCGCAAATGTGCGAACATGCACCCTGTCCAGACAATAATGCGAACACCTTATACGCCGACCTAACTCTTCGCGGTCAAGGACTTTTTAACCGTTTAACCGGTTAACTGTGTTTCACGAGTATACGCGTCATTTAAAAACCTAAAATAACACTAACGTTTTCAACAGTTAATTATTTCATTCCTCGAGTGAGCATGTAATTCTGGTTCAGTTTGCTGTAGCTTTCCAGTTTAGTATTTGTTAGGCGCATTTAGCCTGCGTTCGACGTGTAGATTCGTTGGCAATTATTTACAACACTGATTCCTCACCGATTTGGATTTGGGGGACTTGATTCTGAACAACTTCTTCCTATACATGTTACCGCCGCTCATAATGGGGACTTTTCATACTTATTTACAAAAAATTTGTGAAGGTCATTGTTCCGTACACCCAGTACTTTAAACTTTTTGAGAGTGTGTATTAATTAAAAAGTTATGAAGCATTAATGTTTCGCATTGCGCTAGAAAGTCTGCTTTTTCATTTATCGAAGTTGTTCCTCATAATATGTGTACTCGAATTTTATTTAGATAATATAGATTTGGAAAGGGGGGCGGAATTCTGGAAAAATTAACTCAACCAATACCAATTTTATAAGTTCAAAATGTTTGTCAGGAAGGTCTCATTACGGGTCCGCGTGAACCCAAGTATGATCGTTTGCACGCTCGCTAGGGTTAAAAGGTTAAAAGCTTCTCTCGTAGAATGCTAAATACGCCGAACTCTTATACACTAGGAAAGAAGAAAACTGTGTATACACTAATCTTTTGTTATTCGAATAAGTAAATTATTTCTTCGAAATAGTCAATTCTAGGTACTGTTAGGCGAATAATACTTACGAAAACCTAATGCCGCCAATATGGCGTAATTTATCTTAGAAGAGTTAACCGAAGATTTCGGTCTAGAGATTTTAATTCTTTACACTTCGGAACTTTTCTTTAGAAATATTCAACATTTTCGGATAAAATGATATATCGAAATATGGACGACATTTTTTTGAAACCAACTTAACGAGAAATTACACATAAATTAACGAACAAAAAAGATTAATGCTAGGCCTGCTCAGTTTTGAAATTATATTCTCAGTTCTTTCCTATTTGGTCTTCTAAAATCAAAATTCATGACACAAAATATTTGCATAATTACGGAATGTAATTCCTGAACAACGTTATCTCATTCTCTTTTCACACATTTCTCAGCGACAACTCGGAGAATCACAATCCGGTTATAATTTCACTATACTAGAGTTTAACTGCTGAGTTGTGGAACACCGCGTACGAGGAAGATACACAAGAGACGAGTAAGCCGTGCGCGCAATGGGGGAAGGAATCTAACTTATTTGTAATTTCCGTTATAATATCTCCGCAAGCAGAAATGCTTACAGCACGTATGGGAAAATGTGGGGAAGGTAGGAAGTTTATTCGGATACAAGCTCCCTCGCCACGTGGCGGCATGGAATGCGAGCACAATATTAATTTGGCAGACGGAGAGCGAGAAAGACAGAGGTAGGGCGAGGGAATAGAGGGTTGGAATGTCTAGCCGCTTGGTCGCAGCCTCTCAGCCACCCTAATGGCTTAATTAAAACTACCGTCACTTGCGGCTCGCCCATTTGCTTAGAGTCTCCGCCGGCCTATTTGTACCGACGTTTCATCAGAAACTGTACAATCGTTTTTATTTACACGTGATCGGGGAGCAATAAATTACGTGGTCTAGCTACTTTCTATCTGGTGCGACGCAACATTAAATTTTCTTGTGCTATATATTATTCCAGCTCGTATGTTGCATGTCGTTCCGGCAGTCTCGTCGAGAATTAGTTTTTCTGTGAATAATGAAAGATTTATTTTTTTTAAACATGCTGTGGTCTTGGAGACTAATATCGAACCTATGTATAACTTTCTTAGATATTTTTCACATTTATGCAGTATTGTGAAGAATTTTCGTTTTTGTAGTTACTAAAATTTTTATTTAAAATATATATATAACGATTAGATTATTTTGTAATACTCACTTCGCGTTGGTTTAATTTTACAAATGTATGTTATTTTTTATTGTGCGTATTTGACACAAATATCCTCTTTCACTTTTGCACAATTCAGTCACCATAACATAAATGTGAGATGTGCTCGTCGTTATTAAGAAGTCCATAGCCTGACGTATCGCTAATAAATAACGAAGCGTTATTCTGTCTGTGGACGGGCTCAATAGTTAGATCAAGTATCATATCATTGCCCTAAGGTTCCAGTTACTCCTACTATTACATGTTATCATCTCGATGCAATAATTTGTAGATAAGATAGGTTCAGCTTTATAAGAGTAGATAGTATCAACTAGATATAGTTGTTGCCATTGATGAACGACACATTTTTCAAACTATTGCATCTGCTATCGTATTAAAAATATTGAAAATTCTAAATAATCTGATTCTTCTTTTAATCTACATCGAGAAAAGTGTATTCCTACTAAATATCGTTGAGTCAACTACTGTTATTTATAATAAATAAATTAGTAATTTATAATTATTTATATTACAATAAAGCTTTATATGCATTTATGGAAAATATGAGAATGAAAAATGCACGAAATGCACACGATGCAGAAACTGTATAAAACATCTGAAATGCAGTGCTCTTCATAATGTTTGTTAAGAAAAACTATTTCCTATAATAATTCTGTTTCTCTAATTATATTCTTAAAAATATGGATTTGCATAGAAATCCGCAACCTAATAATTACCTCGCATCTTCAGGGCATTAAGTTTTTCAGTGTATTCTTCTAGTAAAGATTCACGTACTAATTGGACTTTACGAATTAACTATTCCAAACTGTATATTTTCTTTTCTTGAAGTTTCAGCTTCGTATTTACCAACACATTTTTCATTTGAACACCATTTGCTGTTTTAACCATTCTCCATTCGCTGATCATTATCTTCTCGCAATATCCAATCCCGATCTTTCGTTTCAAACCTTTTCCGTTTATCAGCTGATCTTAGCAAGTCTGTTCTGTAAACTTCTACCATTCACTTTGCATTCAAATTACCTTTAGATAATGATAAGTTCTTAGCTGCAAAATGCGATAGAAAGAATTTTGCTCTAAAAATCATCAAAACTACATTATCTTGTTGTTACAACTATAAGAGATATATTTATTAAAACGATTATTAATTGTCAAAATTTGTGTATGAATTCAGCAGTGTACCGACTTAGTTATGTACTATTTGTTATACAACAATTATCTGCATATGTCAACGAACGTATCTCATGAATCGGTACTAATAATAGCTTATGGTGAAACCCATTTACTATTGTAATACGATACTCAAGGGATTGATACACAGTTCCATTGATACTATAGAATTTGTCTCAGCATTAACTACCAATAATATCCAGCAAAATAATCTATTTAAAAAAACGTCAAAACGAGTGTATTCATTGAATTATTGAACTTAAAGAATATTTATAATATTAACATTATTAGATTGATATAATTATATTTTAAACCCACGGGAAAAAGGCTCGATAGAAGTGCATTTCTAACTAAGTTATAAATTATTATATAATAATACCTGTATTAAAATCATGTTTCCGATATTGAAAGTCAAGGAAAATAATTGACAATGGAACACATCGAACTCCTACACATTAATTTCGATTGTCGATCAAATTTACATAGAAGATTGCCCCGGTAAAATATGTTTAAAAAAATAAAAACAACCCTCGAACTTAACCAGTTAGCTGTGGAATTTAGTGTTAAAAATGTCTTGTGTGATATAAATATATTAGAATCAACCAATGATGAGGATACATTTCAAACAGAGACAAATGCACCTAACATGTATAGAAATAAAAAGACTGAAAGAAAATGAAGAAAAACTATATATACTTTTAACAAAATAACTAATTGTTGGAAACATAAATATTGCTTTGAGTTTTGAAACGACGAGTGCACTCAATAAAGCATAGTCAACTGTTTAAGATATAAAACTATATGTTTCTGAATACCTCAAGAACTCATACAAAATACAGGAAAACGTACTCTGTTATAATCTTCAAACGATCTCCAAGCCACACAAATTCCTCCAACAATCAGTCAATCATTCCTTCACATTCAATACTATCAAAAATAATTTGTACATTCATTGCAGAAAAAACGAGCGTACACAGCGAATCGAAGTACAAGTAACCGCAATACACCCCTGACTCGGTCTCCCCATTCCATCCGTCCTTTTCACACAGTTCGCTCACTGTTTTCGATAAATAGGCACAAATATAAATTGTTCCCAAACGAGAAAGCGGACAGAAAGGAATCTATTTAAAAGAGTTTCTGAGTTCTTCGGTACTTTGACTTCCATTAAATCCCGTCCCCCTTTCGAGTATTACGCTCCCCGTCTCTCCGTTCTCTCTCCCTCCACCCTTTTCTCGCCCTTCTTCAATTCTCCGCTCCTTTTCTCTTCCGCGGTTTCCCTGTTTCTTTTTTTCTTCCTTTCTAACTCTCTTTACGCATTATTATTCCCCTCCTCGTCGGTTACGCCGCAACTCGCGTGCCGCCTTCTCTCTTCCTTGGCGCAACAAGGGAGGACCGGAGAGGGTGCTCCGCTGTCGAGTTATTATTATTTAGCCGCAGATACACCCGTTTCGTATACAGGGTGTGCTGTGCAATTGGAACGAGCACGATCTTCCAAGCGATTGACACTACTTTTATCGCAGTAAAATATCACTGTTGGAATAGAAAGCAACGTACACTCGTACGATAAATAATAAATTAACGAATACGTATAATGAAAGGAGAAGAATTTGTTTAACACTGAAACTTCCAGACCAGTCAAAATCACTCAATCCTAATTCCTTCTTTGTGTAATTATTAAAAAGGTAACAGGTGTTTCTCTGAGAAATTATTAAAGGAATTGATTTAGCAATGCGCAAACTGAATTGCAAATCAATC